AATAGTGAAAAACAAAAAATAAACACAAATAGAAAGGATCAGCAAAGTCAAATGTTTATTCCCTTAAAAGTCCTAAAAAAGGACAAACTTTTGACAACACACAGAAAATAAAAAGGTAAATATTATTAGAAATGTATTTATTCAACAAATATGTACTGAGACCTAGTATGCCCAAGACACAAGAGCAAACAAGACAAAGTTCTTCCCTCACGGGTCAAAGGTAGAAAAGATCATTTAAACAGGACACAGAAAGCATTAAGAATAAAGATCAGAAAGAAAAAGAGTGATACATTTTACTTCATCAAATAAGAACTTCTGTTCATAAAGAAAGAGACATGGTAAGCTACAGACTGGAGAAGATAATGGACATACATACCAACCGATAAAGTATAGATTCCTAAATACAGAGAGAGCTCCTAGGAATTAATAGAAAAAGAAACTATAATAGAAGAATTGGTGAAGAATAGGAATGTGTAAGTCATAGAATGTAAATAATTGATAAATATATGAAAAGATGTTCAACCTCACTAGTAATGAAGGAAATGTCAACAGAAACCACAAGATACCATTTCTCAGGTATAAGACTAAGAATTCCTTAAAACTCTGACAGTTCCAAATTTAGGCAGGGATATTAAATAACAGCAATTTGCATCAACTATTAGTATAATTTGGAACAACTAATTTGATGATCAATCTGGGAATATCTAGTAAAGTTGAAGGAGCATATACCCTTAAATCCAGTACCTCTGCATGAATGAATACACACAAAGAAACTCCCAAACAAGGTCCATGTATATAAGGAAACATGTACGAGAATATTCAGGTCAGCATTATCCATAACAGTAAAAAGTCTAGAAGCAACTTACAGGACGGGCAGCAGAAGAATGGATAAACTAAGGCATAGTCATTGAAGGAAAAATGCAATTTCAGAAATGACCTAGAGCTACACGCTTCAACAGGGATCTGAAAAAAAGCCAGTTGTACAAAGGTTTCTACAGTAAAGTACATAGTTATTAAGTTTTAAAGCATGCAAAGCCAAGCAAATATTGCCTAGATCTGTAGAAGTCTGTGGTAAACCCACGAAGAGAAGCACAGGAGATGCTGGTATAAAATTTCAGCTAGTAGCTGTCTTTGTTATAAGACAAAGAAAACACAGAGAGGCTCAGTGGACTTCAAAAGTGCTGCAGCGTTCCATTTCCCAAGCTGGATGGTGAGACATGGGCATCGCTTCCTTATCATTCTTTAAACTGTTCAAAAATACTACATATTATTTTTTGCATACATGATGTACAATATTCAAAACAAATTTATTTTATGGTGAAAGAAATAATGGAATGTGTAGAAATTACATGTAAGAGCAAAAAATAAGAAATGGTTCTCTAAAAGAAGTTCCAAGCAAATTTCAGAGAAAAAAATTCAGATCATAAATTTGGAAATAAAAGGATATAATATGCAATGTTAAAGTCATAGATCACACATAGTTGCAATCAAATGTATTTTATAACAAAAAAATATGATAAAACTAAAAAAATTTACAATTGAGGTAACAAAAAGAAACCTCAACGGATTAAAAAATAAGGAAGAAATTATAAAAGGTATTAGCAACTACTCAATTAAGGGATCAGTTTTCTTTACATTTAGTGAGTGAACAATCTGTATGTAATTTAAGCTCTTTTGAAGAGGGGAAGGAAGTGTAACACCAAGGGTCGGATGGGTCTCCTGCTGGCTTCATGCTAACCCTGACTTGCCTCTTAACAGCAGCATCACATCAGCCCAAATTAGTTCTGCAGCTGAGGCTCCATTTTCTCCCAAGTGGAGTCAGTCATTCTCGCCTCACAAGTTGTTGTAAGAATTAAAAATCCCCCAAGTCTTTCAGCCTGGTGCTGATCCACAGGTGTTCAAATGTCAGCTTTCTTCCCCTCCTCTGGCTCACAGCACAGAGAATAGAAAAACTAAAAAGGAAAGCTATTTACCAAAGACTTTTTTCTTATTATGATTAAAAGTAAGCGTCAGCCAGGCAAGGTGGCTCACGCCTGTAATCCCAGAACTTTGGGAGGCTGAGGCTGGTGGGTCACTTGAGCCCGGGACTATGAGACCAGCCTGGGCAACATAGTGACACCGTCTCCACACACACAAAAAGTGTATATTATAAACCATGACTAATTAGTGTAACAATGGAAAATTTCTAGATCCAATACGTTGAAAACCTATTATCATTGCTCTCTATGGTCTTTGATGTCTTAGCCAGTCATTAAGAAATGAAACAGAAATACAGAAATAAGAGGAAAAAAGATAAAAATGAATTCAATAAACATATTAAGAATGAATATGAACTAGGAAGGGAAAATACTAGTCATTTGAACACGACTAGCACTTCTTTACAGCAGAAATTCTCAGTGAACAAAAATCAAAATGGGACATGTATTTTTTTTAAATATAATTTTATTAGGAGGCTGAGGCAGGAGGATTGCTTGAAGTCCAGAGTTTGAGATCAGCCTGGACAAAATACTAAAAAAGAAAGGCCAGGTGCAATGGTTCATGTCTGTAATCCCAGCACTTTGGGAGGCTGATGGAAACAGATCACCTAAAGGTGACGAGTTTGAGACCACCCTGCCCAACACGGGGAAAAGCTGTTTCCAGTTAAAATATAAAAAATTAGCCAGGCAAGGCAGTGGGCACCTGTAATCCCAACTACTCGGGAGGCTAAGGCAGGAGAATCACTTGAACCCAGGGGGCAGAGGTTGCAGAGAGCCAAGAATGCATCACTGCACTCCAGCCTGGGTGACAGAGCGAGACTCTGTCTCAAAAACAACAATAAATAAATAAAAATTAACCAGGCAGTGGCAAGCACCTGTAGGAGAATCACCTGAACCCAGGAGGTGCAAGGCTGCAGTGTGTCATGATTACACCACTGCACTCCAGCCTGGGTAACAGAAGGAGACTGCCTCAAGAAATATATAGATAGATAGATACACACACATGTAACTTACATAAATTATATGTTATGTAAATTTATTTATTAATTAATTTAAATTTATAAAATTCATAATTTATGTAAAATATATAAAAATTTAATAAATTATATATACATATAAAACTTTAATAGGCAATGGAAAAGCCGTAACACTTTCTTGAGACATAAATTAAGTCTTCTTTGATGTCAGACTGGCTAACTGCTAATCATCCTTCGCAAACCAGCCCCAGTGCCCTATCACCAAGCAACTCAGAAATCAGGCCTGCAGGAGCAGAGTGCAGGGGCGCCCAGATGCAGCGAAGTGGCCTTGCACCTTCTGGGTTCAGGTGATTCTCCTACAGGTGCTTGCCACTGCCTGGCTAATTTTTATTTATTTATTGTTGTTTTTGAGACAGAGTCTCGCTCTGTCACCCAGGCTGGAGTGCAGTGATGCATTCTTGGCTCACTGCAACCTCTGCCCCCTGGGTTCAAGTGATTCTCCTGCCTTAGCCTCCCGAGTAGCTGGGATTACAGGTGCCCACTGCCTTGCCTGGCTAATTTTTTGTATTTTAACTGGAAACAGCTTTTCCCCGTGTTGGGCAGGGTGGTCTCAAACTCGTCACCTTTAGGTGATCTGTTTCCATCAGCCTCCCATGCCAAGGTGGTAGAAGTGTGAATGAATTTCTTTTAATTTCCTCCATTTTTGTTACAAGACTTCGTGTAACACAGAATAAAATATTTAAAATGCCTTAGTTTGATAATGGAACATACAAATTCATAGATTATTCATGAATGCTATTGAATATATTAAACATTTTTTGTTGACAACTAAGTTTTAGAGTTAAGATATTTAATTTCCAGCTGGGCGAAATGGCTCACGCCTGTAATCCCAACACTCTGGGAGGCCAAGGCAGGTGGACCACTTGAGGTCAGGAGTTCGAGGCCAGCCTGGCCAACATGGTGAAACCCTGTCTCTACTAAAAATACAAAAATTAGCCAGGCATGGTGGTGCACACCTATAGTCCCAGCTACTTTGGAATTTGAGGCAGGATAATCACTCGAACCCAGGAGGTAGAGGTTGCAGTGAGCTGAGATTGTGCCACTGCACTCTAGCCTAGGCAACAGAGTGAGACTCCCTCTCAAAAAATAAAAATAAAAAGATACTGAATTTCCATAACAGATTGGGTCCTAGATATTCCAGGTACACAGTTATTTATTGTAGGATATAAATTCCTGCCTACTACATTGGGTCACTGTGAAAAATCTGTAACAAAAGGTTTGTAAAAATACTTGACAGCCTACAAAATGCTAGCTGAAAGTGAAACACTACAGTACTTGGGTAAGGCACTAAGCGCTCTAGAATCCTAGGGGTTATGGGGGAAAACACATCACTGCCCTCAAGCCGCCAGATACAATGAGCTCAGTCACCAAACTGCCATGTCTTTTGTATCCCCAGGCAACAAGTCTGTGCCACCTACTAGGTGCCAAGCACTGTGCTAGGTGTGAGCAACACAGCAAAATATGCAATAAAGCTGCTCTCCACGGCACCTGCAGCCTAAGACAACAGCTGGCAAAACAGAGAAGATACTCTGCGTGGCCAAACACATATGGAGGTAGCTGAGGAAACGTGCAGTGTTTACTAGAGGAGATGCCTATAGGCACATGATAACTGGCTCTTAAGACCAAAAGCTGCCATGCTGCGGCTCCTCATGAGAGAAGGGCAGGCAAGGACTGCACTGTCAGACGCTGAACAGGACGCCCATGCACGGGGGTGTGGGGAGAACTGCCCAGATGAAGTTGAGTCTTTTCTAGACCACAGACTCTACTAATCTATGCCAAACAGGGAGAGAAGAAAAATCATTGCGGGAAGGGTCCAGGCCTACTACATTTTGGCAGTGCAGGCCAGGACAAATGAAGCCACAAGGTATGAAGGTGAACAAAGGTGAAAGGGGAGCTTTCTCAATCCACAGGCTGGTGCATTTGCAAGCCTCCCTGCCTTCCCTACCCAGCAGGGATCCTCCCTGTCTCCCACACACATGATTCTTACCAAGACAGAAGCCTCCAGAGGGGTCCTCTGGCATCCACTCTTCCCTTTTTTCCAGCTGGGAAAATATATCTGGTTTGGGTCCTAAGAGCCCTGTTTTTGAGGGGAGACAAAAAATGAACCACATTTGTTTATACAGGAGATAAAAATCATTGCAAAGACAAAGCCTGGCCCTCAGAGCTTAAGGGGACTTGATAGGAAAGTCCAGGGCCAGGTGCATTCCCAGTGGAAGGAAAAGATGACTCAAGCCTAAAACAATCTGTTCACACATTCCTCTCTCTGCCAGAAAGGAAGCATTTGACCCCTAGTCACTTCTGAGGCATCTGAGAGGACTCCAAAAGAGGCCTGTGCCCAGGACACTAAGGACAGGCAAGGATTCGTAACACTCTTGAAGACAGCATCCTCAACCGGTCCAACCGAACCTTCTATATGGTGTCAGTGTAAGAGTCCTGAGGAGATCCCTGAAAGTGAAGAGAAACTTTGCAGGGGTCCCACTTACCCAGTGAGACCAGGTTCCTGTAGTTCTCCAGCATCACATCCCTGTACAAGGCCCTCTGGGCTGGGCTCAGCTGCCCCCACTCTTCCTGAGTGAAGAGCACAGCCACATCCTTGAAGGTCACCGATTCCTGTAACAACAAATTCATTCTCCTTGGCCAGGGGCAACCCCTGCACATGGTTATCTGGAAAACAGACTGGCAGCCCCTGGAAGCTTCTGGAGATTTACAGGACTGCTAGCACACAGGGAGCTGGTGTTCTGTGGCCAGTTTAAGCCCTCTTCAGGGTCTCCTAGGGGCTGAGCCTTGGACTAGACATTGCTACCCACTCTGAAGAAACACATATGGTGGTGAAGATAGGCTTCCTCACCGCTGAGACTTCCAACTTGCCATTCATTTAGCCTAGAACATTTTCTTTTTCTTTCTTGTTTTTTTTTTTTTTTTTTTTTTTTTTGTCAAGATGGAGTCTCACTGTCACCCGGGCTGGAATGCAGTGGCACCATGTCGGCTCACTGCAACCTCCATCTCCCAGGTTCAAGTGATTCTCCTGTCTCAAACTTCTGAGTAGCTGGGACTACAGTTGTGCACCATCATGCCTGGCTAATTTTTGAAGTTTTGGTAGAGACAGGGTTTCACTATGTTGGCCAAGCTGGCCTTGAACTCCTGACCTCATGATCACCCACCTCAAACTCCCAAAGTGCCTGGCCTAGCCTAGAACATTTTCTTTCTTGCCCTCAAACCGCCCAGCCCTGCCTCTCCTCTCACCCCAGGGGACCAAATCCCGCTCAGGTCTCAGCATAGACACCACTCGCTGAGCGCAGCCTTCCCTGACAGCTTTCACAGTTGCCTATGAGGGCCATCAAGGCCATCAAGTCCCATTTTACTGTGATGTTTGGTTTACTTTCAGTTTCCCCCACTGGACTGTTAACTCCAAGATGTGGACTGCCTGTCTCTACATCTCCTGGGCTTCCCCACACCTGGGACATGACCCATGCACTTGGCACCTATCTGTGGCTGCTCAGCCACTCCTGCTTTTCTTCAGGGTGTACCTTCCCACCTTCAATACACACACAGACACCTACATACACACCTATGCATACACATACACCTACACACACACAGACGCCCAGATACAACACACACCCATACCCACCCCCCCCACACACAAGCATACACACCCATACCCCTCCACTTAAACACACAAACACACACAACAGGCACCCATACCCACATCCCACACACACACACAAGCACACACACAAGCATACACACCCATACCCCTCCACTTACACACACAAACACACACAACACGCACCCATAACCACACCCCCCAGAGACACACCCATATACACCTGCACACAAACACATAACCCATACCCACCCTCCACACAGACACATACACCTAGATACATACATCTACACACACACCCCAACTCACTCCCCCAGAGACACATACACATACATCTACAAACACACACACCCATACCTAACCCCCACACAGAGACACACAAACACACATGCACCTACACACACATACCTACACACACACACCCATACCCACCCCCCAGAGACACACAAACATATACCTACACACACCCCTACATACACCCATAACCACACCCCACACACAGACACACACACACAAGCACACACACACACCCCCATACCCATACCCCCACATATACACACATAGAAATACACATAAACACAGAGACATATACACACAAACTCACAGACACACCCCTGCACATCCCCCACACACCCTCAACACACATATGCAAGTACACATGCACCCAAACACACACACACACAAATACACCCCTCCACACACCCTGTGACACCCTCAACACAAACACACGCACACGTGGGCACATGTGCATACACTCATGGGTCCCATGGAACGAGTCATTCTACACAATAGGACCTCGTTCCTTCTGATTAGAACTACGTAGTCCCTTAGAAACTCTGAGATGGGGTCACAGAGGAAAGTCTCTCTGTCCTGACACACAGGTATACTTAAAATCTAACCTAGCATGTAAAATCCAGTAACTATTACAGCTCTGGTCTTCCCAGCTGGCTGAGAAGCTAAGGGAGCCAGTGTTCACTGAGAAAGAAGAGGTAAACAGAAGCCCAGAGAAGAAACCAAAGGTCCATGAGAAAGGACTCTCGGGTTATTCTACACCCCACTTCCATAGCCAACACCCAGCTGTGTCTTTGCCTTTGCATTTGGGGAAACACCTCCGTATCTTTCCACTAAGTGCTGCTTCTGCCTACGACAGTCTGAATTAGGTTTCTGCTACCTGCATCCAAAGCCTTGGTACATGGCAGGGAGTCAAGAAACACTTGAATTGAAGCCAGGAACCAATTTGTTAGGGACTAGGTATCGTTCACTTTGTATTTCTAGCCCAGATCATAATTCCTGGCACATTTTACAACCCTAACATATGTCTGTTAAATGCCAACCAAATTAAGGCAGCCTCTAAACATGAGATAAATTGTGTGACACCGACAATGACTTTGAGGAAAAGGTTAGGGATGGAAAATATCACAGCAGACTGGAGCCGTGGGTGGAGGCAGGTTTCACAGAAAACCTGGTGCATGAGATGGGGCCTAAGTGACAAGTCAAAAGCCAAGAAGAGGAGCAGCCGGTGAGCTGAGCTACGCTGAACATGGCACTCTCACCTAGCTGGTCATCCCTTCCAGTGATTCCTGCCACACATTCCAGTCCTTGGGAAGGTTTAAATGTGAAGGAATTAGACCAATTTTACCAAATGTATCAGAATGTATATGCCCAAATGAACACTGTCTCCTTCAAAGCACAGTCCATATTTTTCTTCTAAAGATGCTAGGCCTGCTCAAAGCGTTTTAGGAATTTATTGAACTTTTTGGAAGCATAGTCTTTTCAATCATTTCATGGGTTAAAAAAAGGCAAGTGTTATTAAAAAAAAAAAAAAAGTCTAGTAAATCCCACCTCCCCCAAAAAGTATTCCCACTCTGCCCTTCTCCGAGCTCTGTGTGGGGTACCACCCTGATATGGTTTGGATGTGTGTCCCCTTCAAATCTCTTGTTGAAATGTGACCTCCAACGTTGGAGGTGGGGCCCGGTGGGAGGTGTTGGATCATGGGGGTAGATCCCTCATGAATGGCTTAGTGCCATCCTCTTGGTAATGAGTGAATTCTCACTCAGTTGGTTCACCTGAGATCCAGTTGCTTAAGCGCCTAGGATCTCCCACTTCTCTCTCTCACTCCCTCTCTCACCATGTGATGTGCCTGCATCCCCCTTCACCTACTGCCATGATCAGAAGCTTTTTAAGGCCTCATCAGAAGTAGATGAGGCTGACACCATGCACAGCCTATAGAACCACGGGTCAAGTAAACTTCTTTCCTTATCAATTACCGAGGATTAGATTTCTTTAGAGCAACGAGAAAAAGGACTGATACATGCCTTTACCACTTCAGATCCCTAACCTGACTGGCTAGTGAAAAGAGTACAGGTTTTGATTTCATAGGAACTTGCGTTCCAGTCCCAGTTGTGACATTTATGTGACCTTTAGCAAATGATACATCTCCAACATCCACCAGGATGAGCCAGATACGGGTGGGGGGTTGGTTGGGGAGAAGCAACTGAGGTCAGTGTCTGGGTGGGACTGGATTGGGAGAAAAGCTCCTGGTCGGAGGAAGGAAACACGCCACACTCTTCAACTCCAGAAAGCAATTTAGGGGGAAGAAACCCCGACTCACCTGGACCATGGCTGGCAGGTGGCTGACAGCCATTCTTTCTTCTCTGATGAGCCCTCTTAGGGACAGGCAAAGTGCTGTGGAGGCAGGTGTGGAGTTTTGCACCCTTAGGACTCCTCAGGCTAGAAGGGTCTACACACCTGCAATTAAGAGAGGACTGGGTCAAAAGCTCTCATACGGCAGTCCAGCGCAAGGCAGCGGGCATTCACATCCTGGGCGGCCTCCAGTACCCCAAGCAGTGAGTGCTTTGGTCCCTGTTTGCTCCCCATTCTCTCTCCTGCTTCAGAAGATGCTATACCTTGACTTCTTGCAGAAAGCCTGCTCCAGCCCAGTTCTCACACCTTCCACCCACCCTCTGGTCTTTCCCTTCAGCCTCACTGAGCAATCTCAACATATATAAATGTGTATATATATATATATATATATATAATTTTTTTTTTTTTTTTTTGAGACAGGGGCTGGAGTGCAGTGGCACGATCTCCCCTCACTGCAACCTCTGCCTCCTGGGTTCAAGCGTTTCTCCTGCCCCAGTCTTCCAAGCAGCTGGGATTACAGGCTCCTGGCACCACACCCCAGCGAATTTTTTTTTTTTTTTTTTTTTTTTTTTTTGAGACGGAGTTTCCCTCTTGTTACCCAGGCTGGAGTGCAATGGCTCGATCTCGGCTCACCGCAACCTCCGCCTCCTGGGCTCAGGCAATTCTCCTGCCTCAGCCTCCTGAGTAGCTGGGATGACAGGCACGCGCCACCATGCCCAGCTAGAATTTTTGTATTTTTAGAAGAGACTGGGATTTCACCATGTTGGCCAGGATGGTCTCGAACTCCTAACCTCAGGTGTTCCGTCCTCCTCAGCTTCCCAAAGTGCTGAGATTACAGGCGTGAGCCACCGCGCCCGGCCGAGAATTGTCTCTTTAACAAGTTATTCAGCTCCAGAACTCATCAGGATGTACCCGAAAAGGTGGGGGCGCTGAGGCAAGGCAACTGAGGGCGATGCGTGAGTTGGGCTGGACTGGAAGACGGCTCCCGCTCCCGCTCTCCCTCTCCCTCTGCCTCTGCAGCTTTGGAACAGCTGCCTCATCTGGGAGTGATGGGAGAAGAGGGAAAGGAGGGCAGTCTTCTTTCTCCTCAAACAGGCGGCTCAGAAGTCTGCTCTTCGCTGTCGAAGCCTTTTAAGCAAGCCCTTCCCTGGCCGCAGGGTTCTGACTCTCTGGGGCCCAGTGTGGGCGGCCCGGAGTCACGGGTGCGCGGAGGCTGCGTCTGCCTCGCCGGGGTACGGGCAGCGGAGGGAAGGAGCCGTGTCCACGCAGCTCCCGCCCGTGCCGCCTCGCCGGCTCCCCCGGGGCCGCCTCGGCAGGCTCCCGGCGCAGGACTGGGAACCGCGCCAGGCGTGTCTCCGTCACCTGCGCGGAATCCTCGGGCTTCCCGGAGCCCGCTGCAGGACACACGCCGGAGGCCCTGGCCCCGTCTCCTCCGCAGGCGCTCCCAGCCTCGACCCCGCGCCCAGGATGGCCGCCCCTGGCTGTCCTCCCTCTGCACGTCTGGGATCCCATCTCAGACCTGCATTCCAGGAAGTTCGGGGCATTCGGGCAGCGTCCTCCAGAAGGGACCACGACCCGCACCTCCTCGGCTGTCCCTCCGCCCTTCTCCCCGGACCGCCTCAGGACCACCACCGCGCTCCCTCTGCGTCTCTGACCGCCGTGCCCGGTCACCCCCGTGTCGCTCCTCCAGGAGCCTCCGCCGGCGGCGAGAGACCGCCAGCGCCACATCGCAGCCAGAACACAATGAACGGGAGGCTGCCACTGCGGACGGAACTGCGCTTGCGCGTTGCCCTGGGAACCGCTGGGCCGAGTTCCCACAAGTCTCAGAGCTGCGGCAGTTCCGCCTGCCGGACTCCACTTCCACAGGGAAAATCGGCGGCGAGAGTGCCGCCGTGCGCCTGCGCGAACAGGGCCCCGCCCCCCGCCCCCCCCCCCCCCCCCCCGGCGCTTTGGGCGCGAAAACTACGTTTCCCTGAGGCCCCTCCGCGTCGACGCCAGCGCGCTGACCGCGTACGGAATCGGTTTCGCTCTGCGGGCTTTAGAGTTAGGTCTCTGCCTGGCGGCAAGGTCCGGGAGGACGCAGACCAGCGGAAAGCTGACGGTGGGACGAGGGAGGCCAGTCCAGGGGCGCGCCGCGCGGTCACCGCCGAGGGACGATCGGGAAGGCCTGGAAGACCGGCTGGGAGGCTGACGGGGACCGCGCCGAGGCCGGGAGGGCCGCAGGAGGGCGCCTGGCCCGACGCCGGACTCCAGCCTGGCTCCGCGGGCGGGCCCGGGCGGGCCGGGGTGGAGACGCCGCAGCCCCGAACTAGTGTACGGTGCGGGGAGGACGAGGATGTCGGGCAGGGACGTCCTGCGCGGCGCCTCGGGACGGAGCCCCTGGTGGCTGGAGCCCGGCTGGCGGCCCCTGCCGTTTTCGGGAGGCAGAACCCTTCGTGCTTGGGGTCTTTCGGAGGTGGGGACGAGGGAGGGGAAGAAGCCTGGATGCCCGGAAGCCTCCATCCTGGACAGCTGCGTGCCATTTAGAAGGTGGTGTTTACTTTTGTTGAGACTGGCGAGGATGAGACGAAGCCTAAGAATATCTAACTGGAGATACTTCGTTGCTTTTGAAAAGATAATTTGCATGGAGCTCAGGAAAGAAAGATGAGAGGGTTTTAACTTTGTTGGTTAAAAAAAAAAAAAAAAAAAATCAAGAATGTGACCTGAGGCTTGTCACATATGGAATTGTTGGCCCCCTTTTAGGAAGCAGGGTCACTGACTACAGCATTCCGTTTGGAGTTTTATTGAAGAGTTCATTCTATAGACACTTTGTGTCAAGTGTTCGACAAGGCCGGGGTAGCCGCTGTGCAGCCTCTAGAGCAGTTGCGGGGTACCTGGCAAAGCGGCGGGGGAGGCAGAGGATGGTTTGTGAATATCGCTGGTAACCCTTCTCTCTCCCCTCCCAAGCCCTCAAACATACAAACACCACTTCTGGCCCACCCGTGACTCCAGGTCCCTCAAACTGGGCCCTAGAGAGTGAGAACCCGAGCCGAAGGGCTGGAGAAATAGCTGGGAAAACCCTGCATGCATGGAGTTTTAATTGTACTAGAGGAAGGGTCAAACAAGTAGAAAATATTTATCAGGTATTGATAACACTGCTGTTAGGGGTTAGGGTGTGATGGGGCGGGGAATGATTTCAAGTAGCATTTTTGGAAGTTCTCTTTGAGGAGGTAACATCTGAGCAGAGATTTGAATACAGTGAGGGAAGAAACGAAGTGAATGTCTGGATAACGTGCCTTCTAAAGGGAGGGAACAGAAATGCTGTCCAGAGAGAAGTGTTCTTGGTGAACTCCAGGCAAGGTCCGTATGACTGACGAGGGCCTAGTGAACAAGGAAGAGTGGGAGATGCTGTTGCAGGGGTAACTACAGGCCTTGAAGGAAATTTGGATTTATTCTGTGTGCCTGGAAATGATTAGATTCGAAAGAGTGACATAGCTGGGCACATTTCGATAGAATCAGTGGTCAACTTCAAGGAGGGCAGATAGTGGTGGGGCTAGAGGGGATCCAGGGAAACCAGTGAGGAGGCAATGACAGCAGTCCAGAGTTACAAGTAGCCTCCCACAATTATATAACTTTTCTATAAGGCAATTGCTTCGAGAGCCTAATGATTCTAAGATAATGAAGGGTTCTGGGTGCCATGCTAAGGAATTTGGATATTATTGTTTGAGGAATGTGAGAACGACAATATGTATTCAGCACTAACTACATGTTGAGCACTTTTATAAGCACTTCACATTATTTAATGCAACCAAAAAGTGAGGTTTGCCCTATTAATAAATGAGAAAACCAAGGCACTGATCTATTAAGTGCCTTGCTCAAACACCCATGTCCTTGGAACCAGGAGTCCTTCTCCTGCTGATGGAGGAAAGGTTCAAAAGTGCTGTTATCATTTGTCACCTGGATGGCAAAGAACTGACATACAAAGGCCCAAGTCTTCCAGAACTGAAAAAAGTAATGAAACCTTCATTTATCTGACCCATTTGTCCCGGAGATGCTGTAGTTTATTAGGCGTATCTAACAGGTGCCCTTCCACAGGCAACTAACACACGAAACACAAAACTATTTCAAAGCTGAAAAGCAGTGAAACCTCTAACATGAAGCCTGACACACCCTTTGGCTTTAGGCAGAACTCACCCACTACACTATATTGTTCTGAGCGGTCACCGAGGAAACCCCGCTTCTGTCAAGGATTCTCATTAGGATCCAGTCTCCTCGGAGAAAGGAGGTTAAAATGTGGCCTGGAAAATTCCTTTCCCTTCTGCTCTATTAACTATGGATATGCAGATGAACACTTACATGTGACCAAGCCCTACATCACCAGTCTGTTCACTCTTCCTCAGGACAGAAGCTACTTGCTAGTCATTCCTGGTGTTCATTTGCTGCGCCCTGTTGGGACCCGTGCAGCATGATGTAGTAAGATCCTTTAACCCCATTTCTTCCTGCTTCTTGACTTCCATTCCGTGCTCAAGTCATACACCTCTGAAAATTTCCTATACACTATGTTCTCTTAGCCTCTCTTGCCATTATTCGTATTCTTCCTACACGTTTTCATTTCCTCTCGTCTTCTATTCACCCAGCTAGTTCACTCCCATGGCACTATGTGCTAGGAGTTACTTGACAGCAGAGATCAGGCGTCATTTACCCTGGAATTCATAGAAGCTGACTTACGCTAGGGGCTCAATAAATGTTAGTTGCATGAGTGAACGACACTAAGTAAGAACAAGGTCTTAGTCATCCTTGTCACAATAGCATACAGCACAGGCCAATTGCTTATACGTCTCTTGACCACAGGCAGGAATCAGATAATGCCAATGTGTATATAGGCAGGGAAGTAACCGACCTCAATTAAGTTCTAAGCATTCATAAATTTTTCAGAGGCCCTTCTCCTCGAGATCTGTTGTGATATTTTTCAGGAGCCAGAGGCAGTTCAAAGCTGTGAACAATCTAGGAGCGGGTACTGGCACCATAATCTGCAGCTCCACCTCTATTAGAGAACGCTGATTGGTAACCTCTTTAAATGCCCAGAGGCCCATTTCACAGAGCTGAAGTGGAGATAATGGGCCTATTTGAGTCTTTTGAATGATGATCCAGCCATAGAGAAAATACCTTGTTCACCCAATTCTCTATAGTTCCAGAGGGTGCTGTGTTTCTTACTGCCTTCTGAGTCACCCTTGTGCATCCCAACTCCTGGTTTATTTCAGATTTCCCTACTGTGAGCTCCCTGTGAACTCCTGAGCTCTAAATCACCAGCAACTAACTGAGTAGGTGCTCTGTAAATATCTCATGGCAATACTGGTCATATCTGTCATAGTTTGCTTCACACAGGCCTGCCTGCATGGACAGTGATCACATGGCAGTGCTCCTCCTACCAGCTGACTGGATGGATACTTAGCCAGAAAAGGTGACTTGTAAGGCTTGTCTTAAACAGATGATCTGGACCAATGGGTTTCTTTCACGGAATTTTACAGTTACGACGGAGACACTTGGGTGTTAGAAAGGTGAAAAGTCACTAGATATGAGAGCTGATGCTGACATCTTGGGTCATGTGCAAATTTAACTGTAAGCCAAGGAATCCAACCACCAGTGAGGGGATGGAGAAAGCAGTAACAGAACCCACGTTGGGGTGGTAGCAGTGGTGAGGGGTGGAGGAACAGAGACAGGCAGAGAGCATACACACGTCCTTGGTTGCGGGTGATTCCCAATTGCTGCAAAGTCTTGGCTGTACTGCTTTAATTACCAGCAAATCCTCCTATATTACTGAAACTTAAGTTCTACCTGAGAATGGACACTGAAGTGAAGGGCTTGGGTAAACTCAGGATATGGTAACAAAGGTCCTCTCCTAGACCTGTATACTCCTAGTACTCCTCCCAGGTGGTTGGATTCCTTTGCTTACAGTATTTGCACATGACCCAAGATGTCAGCGTCAGCTCTCCTATCTAGTGCTTTCATCTTCTAACATCCAAGTGCCTCTGTCCTAATTTTAAAATTCCACAAAAGAAACCCATTTGGTCCATATTATTATTGTTTCACAAATATACGGCACCCTTCCCGTAAGCCGGGAGGCTCGAAGAGGAGGGGGCAAGTCAGTGACACTAAGCTTCTCCGCTCTCCTGCCCCGCCTCCTTCCGTACACACAGTTCTCAACTCAGCATGCAGATCCTGGGTCTCCTTGCCTGTACTCAGATGCAGACCACTGCAGTTAGAAAAGGAAAAGGCGGCAGAATGAAACAGCAAACTAGCCTCATCCTCAGGAACTTAGATTTATAAGAACCTCTCTCTTCTACACCATCTCCTCCTTTCCCTTCAGAATTTTTTTTCTTGTTCCCCACATCATCTCAAGAGAGAGAGCTAGAGGGGAAGAAAGGAGGTAGACAAAAGAAATGGGTAGAAATTGATGGAAAAGATAAAGACAGCAGCAAAATAAAGGCTCAAAAGGCAAGCACAGGACAAGAAAGAAAGGGAGAAATGGAGGGTTTTGAAGCCTAGGATGGATGCAATGTCTCAAAATTGGTAAAATATTAACCCTAAGAGTTCACATAGCCAAGAGACACTGGATTGCTGAAGGTTCAAACAGTTAAGAGTTCACAGAAACTTCCTCCATTGCCATCTGCAGACATCATCTCTACGCATCATTTTTGGATTCTCATCTCTCCCAGTGGAAAGTTTCCTTCCTCCTGTTGAAAGAGATCCCTACAGCCTCTACCCGTGTTCCAGATCTTATTTTCCCACATTAAGCTGCATGTTCCCTCCTTTCTGTACCTTCACTCTTCCACACCTCTTCTTAGTTACGAACATGCTCATCCTACCTTAAATCATGCACACACTTCCTGGCAGATTGCTGGCTGGCTAAATCAACACCATCCTCAATCCCACCTTTTTTTGTACCTGCCTCCTCTGTAGAGGCTGGCAGGGTTAAATACTTCTTTCCCCAGCCTGCCTTGTGCTAGGGGTGGCCATACAATATAGCTATGGTCAATGAGATGTAAGTAGGAGTCTACCGAGTGGCTTCTGGGAAAAACTTTCCTGATCCAAGGCACTGATGTTGGTAAGGGAGGTGCTTCCCTCCTCCTTCCCTCCTGCCTGGAATGCAGATACCTTATTTGATGCTATGGCCATCATGATGTAACCATGATGGAAACCCCATTAAACTCAAGACACTGAATTGTTTTACATGTGAGCCACCTCCAGATTTGTTATGTGAGAAAAATAAATCTATTTGCTTACACCATCGTGGACTGGGTTTTCCACTGTTTGTGGCCCACAGCTCTTCTGATATGCTCCAAGCCCCAGCCTCTCTAGTTATCTTTCTGAGTCTCTCCCACTTCAGTAAGGCTGCTAGGTTCTTTTTAACATTTAACGCACTCTTCAACCTACTAAAAGAGAGTTTGAGCCATCTTAAATTCATAGCTAAAACAAAAGGACATAATTCTATTTTTATCTTACTTTACCCTCCATAGCATTTGACAGTATTAACTATTCCTATCCCCCATGTTAAAGCATCTTTTTACTTTTGTGGCACCAACTTCTGATGTTTCTATTTTCTTTTGGCTGTTTATTCCACTTAGCTTCTATTAATTCCTGTTTTCCCCAGCTGCCCCATCAATGACAGTCCTCCCAGGATCTCCTTTATCATTTACTCTGCTGCCTACCAGGACTCTTCCCTCGGATGTTCCACAGACTCATGGAAATGTTCCCAAAGTGAACTCCATTGCCCCACAAAATTGGGCAGCTATGTTTTTAACTATAGCAACGTTATCTACCAAAATAAGAAATCCAAGTAATCCTAGACTCTCCCTTCTCATTCAATTGGCACATGTAGTCAGTTAGCAAATTTCCTAGCTTCTGCTTTGTTACTGCTTATATTCTTCCCTCTCCTCTTCCATCATACTGCCAACTGCCACTTTCCTTCTTTCTTTGAGACACAGTATCACTCTGTCGCCAGGCTGGAGTGCAGTGGGCGCACTTGGCTCACTGCAACCTCTGCCTCCCAGGTTCAACTGATTGTCCTGCCTCAGCTTCCTAAATAGCTGGGACTACAGGCAAGCACCACCACACTCAGCTAATTTTTGCATATTTAGTACAAACAGGGTTTCACCATGTTGGCCAAGATGGTCTCGATTTCTTGACCTCATGATCCACTCGCCTTGGCCTCCCAACGTGCTGGGATTACAGGCATGAGCCACTGCACCCAGCCTCATACTGCCACTTTCTTAGTTTAACCCTTATAAACCAAATAATATATTTTACTCATTTTGATTTTCTAATCATGTCTAACACATTTAGGACTTGGTAAAGTGTGTGAAATAAACAAAACTATCTTAACTACCGTACTAACTATAGATTTAGAAAATCTCCCATTCTGAATATGTTTTTGAGTTGCAGTGTTTCTGGGTTTTTTTGTTTTGAGACACTGTCTTGTTCTGTTGCCCAGACTGGAGTGCATTGGTACAATCACTGCTCACTGCAGCCTCAAACTCCTGGGTTCAAGCAGTCCTCTCACCTCGGCCTCCCGATAGCTGGGACTACAGATATGTGCCACCATGCCTGGTTAATTTTTACAAAAATTTTTGTAGAGACAAGGTCTTGCTATGTCGCCCAGGCTTATCTTCAACTCCTGAACTCAAGCAATCATCCTGCCTCAGCCTCCCAAAGTGCCGGGATTACAGGCATGAGCCGCAATGCCTGGCCTCTTTTGTTAATAGGTCAGATGGCTGCGTCTATTCATGTTCAGTCCGTCTTTTCCTTTCCATGTTGATAGCCAAAATATGACACAAAGATATGTATGTGATTCTTCTGTAATTATAGGACTACGTTATTTAAGTGATCATTTAACAACAGTTTAATAACTATTAACTGAGAACTCAAAACAGCATGCTATTGCACTAAGATGTGCATACTTATTTCATTAATTTATGGAGACCAGCCTGTAGTTAAGGGACAGAAGAACAGTGCAGGGAAAGACTAGCAGCATGGAAGGGTGCCAGGAATTGGTAAAGGAATTTTGACTAAAACATCCAAGGAAACCAGACTGTGGAACAGGAGCATCTAGACAGCATACAGACAGCTTAAAATCATAAAAGAACAAAGATTTCCCAGCATTCATTATATTTATAGGTTTGTAGCATTTTAGAGCTAACAGAGATCCTACAAGACTTCTATCTCCAACATCATTCACATACCAAATAGAGAACCATCACCTGGTGGAAGGAGGTGATTTGTCCAAGGCAGTGGCAGATTAGGACTACATCCCAGGTCTCTGGGCTGTCCAGTTAAACACTCAGATTTTTCTTTCCAGTATGAAGTCTTTGATCACCAAAGGAGAATCTGCACTATGATATAGCAACCTATCTTCAGCATGAGTCTTTACTGCTTATATTAGCTACGTAAAACTTCTGATGTTAAAGTAAGTTATACTTTCTAAATCAAGACTTCTCTACTTTTAGATGATTTCTCTGCAGTGCTCTGTATTATCTGATATGGTATGTTATATTTCAACTGAAAGATTCCCACAGTCATTACATTTATTAGGTTTCTACATTGTATGTCTTACATGCTTATTACTGAAGAGTTCATCATGATGTAGAGGCCAGTGAAAACATTCCTCATGTATGAGTTCTTTGATGTCGTGTAAGGTTTGTACTCCGGCTGAAGGCTTTTCCACATTCATTACACTGATAGGGTTTCTCTCCTGTATGAGTTCTCTGATGCACTGTAAGGGATGAATTCTTAATGAAGGCTTTTCCACACTGATCACATTCATAGGGTTTCTCACCAGTATGAATTCTTTGATGTTCAATAAGGTAAGCACTCTGGCTGAAAGCCTTTCCACATTCATTACACTCATAAGGTTTCTCTCCAGTGTGAATAACCTGATGCACGGTAAGGGATGATCGTCCAGTGAAATGTTTTCCACATACCATACACTCATAAGGTTTCTCTCCAGTGTGAATTCTCCGATGTTGAGTAAGAGATGAATTCTTACTGAAAGCTTTTCCGCACTGATTACACTCAAAAGGTTTTACTCCAGAATGAAGTCTCTGATGTTCTATAAGGTACGTACTTTGGCTAAAGGATTTCCCGCATTTGTTACATTTGTAGGGTTTTTCTCCAGTGTGGTTTCGCTGGTGTAGGGTAAGAGTCGAGCTCTTACTAAAGGCTTTTCCACATTGACTACACTCATAGGGTTTCTCTCCAGTATGGCTTCTCTGATGTACAATAAGATGCATGCTTTGACTGAAGGCTTTTCCACATTCATTACATTCATAGGGTTTTTCTCCTGTATGAGTTCTCTGATGGACTGTCAAATTCATGCTTTGAGTAAAAGCTTTCCCACACTCATTACATTTGTAGGGTTTCTCTCCAGTATGAATCCGTTCATGTTGAATAAGAGATGAATTCTTACGGAAGGCTTTGCCACACTCTCTACACTGATAGGGTTTCTCTCCAGTGTGAGTTCGCTGATGGACAGTAAGATTCATGCTCTGACTAAAGGCTTTTCCACATTCATTACATTTATAGGGTTTCTCTCCAGTATGAATTCTTTGATGAACAGTAAGGGAGGAGCGATCAATGAAGTGTTTCCCACATACATTACACTTATAGGGTTTCTCCCCAGTATGAATCCTCTGGTGCTTAAGAAGGGATGAGCTCTGGCTGAAGGTTTTGCTGCACTCATTACATTCATAGATTTTCTTTCCTACAAACATTCTTTGAGTTTTAATTAACTCCGAATTTTGTTTGACATCTTCTCCATGTGAATTACAATCATGGGGCCTTTTAACCATAGGAATGCTTTGTTGTGTATCAAGGATTGAACCCTGACTGGAACATCTTTCAAATTCATTACCTCCACATATTCTCTTCTCAGTGAAGGTTTCCTCATGGGTAACTGCCACTTGGCTCAGATGACTATCCTGTTGTCCCTCTAACCAATTATTAGGTTCCCAGGTTTCCCCTACAGTAGAATGCCAGATAGCTTCCCTTTCCATTATTACCCCATGGCATAAATCTTCAGTAATGTTGGGCTTTGGAGTTGGCTCTTTGGTTTCAAATCTTGTCTCCCAGTCTGAAAAAAAAAAAATTCAAATGCACATTGGTTTCTATGCTGGGAGACTGGAAACTGTATAAGGTGGGAATGAGAATTAAACTATCCAACTGAAATAACTTGAACACACTTGAGAGCTTTCAAAGATGTACCCCAAATTAGGTAGAAAAATACCAAGGGAGAGAAGGAACAGTGAACTGGTCCATAGAAAATAGGGGACCTGAAAGCAGGGGGTGGAAGATGTACTGGGTAAGCAGAAAACAGAGTGAGCCTATTTAGGGGGGATGGACAGTGAAGGCACTGACCGCTGGAGTAGGCTACATAATGAAGGTGGAACTAAGGGGAGATATGCAGAGGGGCTGGAGTTGGGAGAGGTGGATGAGGAAGCTGCACACTGTACCAGTATTCCTACCAGCAGTTTCTTCTCTCCTACAAGGCCACCTAGAATTCTACACCTAATTAATCTTCCTAAAACATTACAGTGTGACACAGTGTAAAAACTGCTGACCCAAAGTCAGACAGACTTGGATTCAAACCCTGCCTTAACACCATCTTAACTAGTTACTTGTCTCACTGGGTCCTAGTCTCACAGATATAAAGTGAGGATTAAGAAATATGGTCGGGGCTGGGCATGGTGGCTTATGCCCATAATCCCAGCATTTTGAGAGGCCAAGGCAGGCACGTCACTTGAGGTCAGGAGTTCAAGACCAGCCTGGCCAACATGGTGGAACCCCATCTCTGCTAAAAATACAAAAATTTGTTGGGCATGGTGGTGGGTGCTTGTAGTGTTAGCTACTTGGGAGGCTGAGGTAGGAAGATGACTTGAACCCAGGAGGCAGAGGTTGCAGCGAGCTGAGATAGTGGTACTGCACTCCAGCCTGGGCGACAGAGTGACACTCTGTTAAAAAAAACAATGATAGGAAGTAAATAAGGTAATGTATATGGTATAGTTTGGATGTATGTCTCCACCCAAATTTCATACTGAAATTAAATCCCCACTGTTGGAAGTGGGGCCTTATGGGAGGCGATTGGATCATCAGAGTGGTTTCTTATGAATGGTTAGCACTATCTCCCTTGGTACTGTCCTCCCTATCATAAGTGAGTTCCTGTGAGATCCCGTTGTTTACAGATGTGTAACACTTCCCTCCTCACTCTTTCTTGCTCTTGCTTTTGCCATTTGATGTCCCTGTTTCCCCCTCATCTACTGCCATGATTGTAAGCCTCATTAGGCCTCCCCAGAAGCAAATGCTGGGACTATGCTTCTTGTATAGGAACTGCGAGCCAATTAAAGTTCTTTTCTTATAAGTTACTCAGTCTGAGGTATTTCCTTATAGCAACATGAGAATTGACTAATACAGAAAATTGGTCCCGGGAAGTGGGGAATTTCTATAAAGATACCTGAAAATGTGGAGGCGACTTTGGAATAACTGTGTAACAGGCAGAGGTTGGAAGAGTTTGGAAGACTCAGGAAGATAGGAAGACAAGGGACAGTCTGGAACATCTTAGAGCCTGGCTAAATGGTGGTGACCAAAATGCTGATAGTGATATGGACAGTTAAGTCTCAGTGAAGGTCTCAGATGGAAATGAGGGACTTACCAAAGGTCACCTTACCTATGCCTTATTAAAGAACGTGGCTGCGTTGTGCCCTTGCCCTAGAGATCTGTGGAACTTTGAGAGTGGTGATTTAGGGTATCTGGTGGACAAAATTTCTAAGCAGCAAAGCACGCAAGAGATGGGTTGACTGCTTCTAACAACCTATGCTCAGATGTGAGAACAAAGGAATGACTTAAAACTGGAACTGACACTTAAAAGGGAATAAGTTTGGAAAATTTGCAGCCTGGCCATGTGGTAGAAAAGAAAAGGCAATTTTCAGGGAAGGAATTCAAGCAGGCTGCAGAAATTTGCAGAAGTAAAAAGGAGCCAAGTACTAATAAGCCAGGACAATGGGGCAAAGGGCCTCAAAGGCATTTCAGAGACTTTCACAGCAGCCCTCCCTCAGAAGCCTGGGAGGAATGAATGGTTTCCTAGGACAGGCCCAGGGCCCAGCTGCCCTGCACAGCCTCGAGACACTGCTCTCTGCATCCCAGCCACTCCAGATCCAGCCATGGCTGAAAAGGGCCAGGTTACAGCTCAAGCTGCTATTTCAGAGGGTACAAGGTGTAAGCCTTGGCAGCTCTGATATGGTGTTAAAGCCTGTGGGTACACACAGTACAAGAGTTAAGGCTTGGGAACCTCTATCTAGATTCCAAAGGATGTACAGAAAAGCCCAGGTGTCCAGATAGAATCCTGTTGCAGGGGCAGAGGCCACACGGAGAGCCTCTAGTCGGGCAGTGCAGAGGAGAAATGTGAGGCGCTGCCTAGCGGACCTGGGAGAAGACGGCCAGCGCCCTCCAGCCTCCAGAATGTAAGACTCACTGGCAGCTTGCACCCTGCATGTGGAAAAGCCAGAGACATTCAGCTACAACCCATGAGAGCACTGCCAGGACTGAACCCTGCAAAGCCACGGGGGCAGAACTGCCCAAGGCCTTGGGAATCCACCCCTTGCAGCAGAGTGCCCTGGATATGAGATAGAGAGTCAAAGAAAATAATTTGGAAGCTTTAAGATTTAATGACTGCTCTGATAGTTTTTGGACTTTCATGGGGCCTACAGCCCCTTTCTTTTGGCAGACTTCTCTCTTTTAGAACAGGAGGGTTTACCCAATGCCTACACCCCCAGTATATCTTAGAGGTAACTAACTTGTTTTTTATTTTATAGGCTCATAGGTAGAAGATACTTGCCTTGTGTAAGATGAGACTGTAGACTTTTGAGTTAATGCTGAAACAAGTTAAGACTTTAGGGATTATTGGAAAGGCAAGATTGTATTTTGAAATGTGAAAAAGATAGAAGATTTGGAAGGGGCCAGAGGTGGAATGTTATAATTTGGATGTGTGTCCCCACCCAAATCTCATATTGGAATATAATCCCCAGTGTTGGACGTGGGACCTGGCTGGAGGTGATTGGCTCATGGGAGCAGTTTCTAATGAATAGTTTAGCACCATCCCTCTTGGTACTGTCCTCCTAATCATGCATGAGTTCTCATGAGCTCTGGCCATTGAAAAATGTTTAGCACCTCCCCCCGCCACACTCTCTTGCTCCTGGTTTTGCCATTTGATGTGTCTGCTCCCCTTTTCCCCTCCATTATGATTGTAAGCCTCCTGAGGCTTCCCCAGAAGCAGATGCTGGCACTAATGCTTCCTGTACGGCCTGTAGAACCATAAGCTAATTAAACCTCTTTTCTTACAAATTATCCAGTCTTGACTGGGCGTGGCGGCTCACACTTATAATCCCAGCTCTTTGGGAGGCTGAGGTGAGTGGATTACCTGAGGTCAGTTCAAGACCAGCCTGGCCAACATGGCGAAATCCCATCTCTACTAAAAAAAAATACAAAAAAAAAAATTAGCCGGGCATGGTGGTGTGCACCTGTATTCCCAGCTAAAAGGAGGATGAAGCAGGAGAATCACTTGAACCCAGGAGGCAGAGGTTGCAGTGAGCTAAGATTGCACTCCAGCCTGCGTGACAGGAGTGAAACTCTATCTCTAAATAAATAAATAAATAACCTAGTCAGAGGTATTTTTTATAGCAATGTGAGAACAGACTAATACAGTATGTAAACTATCCTTTGGGAATACACTCCTCTGGAACATAAAGTACCAGAACATACATGAAACTTAAACTCTTAAGGGAGATGACAATCTAGACCAGGCGTCCCCAAACTGCGGCCCCCTGAGGCCATTTATCCGGCCCCCCGCCGCACTTCAGGAAGGGGCACCTCTTTCATTGGCGGTCAGTGAGAGGAGCACAGTATGTGGCGGCCCTCCAATGGTCTGAGGGACAGTGAACTGGCCCCCTGTGTAAAAAGTTTGGGGACGCCTGATCTAGACGTTTCTTCCCCTTAAACTTTAAGCAGGCTGTAACTTATTCATGGGGGTAAGACAGTCCCAAAGGATCCTATCATTTCCTAAATATCCACTGTCTGAGAGGAGGCTAGAAAAGGGCTCTGTAGCTACTCAGACTTCTGTTTTCTCAGATCCTATTTCTTAACCCAGACAATAGAAGGACTGCAGGACTGGCACTGCAACCTGAGAATCAGCTTTTTTATTGCTGATCAAAGACAACAGAGTAGAGATAAACACTGAAAAAATAAACCAAAGGCTTAGGGGCAAAGGCTTTCCTGTGAAGCAAGAAATATGCATTTACCAGGCCTCTTTCTTCTGACCTGACCTGCTTACACGGGAGGAGAGAAAAACTGGGAAGTCAAGCAGGCGCCGCCTCCAGAACACACCACCAAGTAACCCCAAACAGAGGACCTGTCAAACTGAGTATGAAAATACCAGCAGGTGACGTGTGAGTCTGCAGCTGCCTGTTGCCCCACCTCTGCATGGGGGTCAGCCAGTCAACTCAAGTCCTTTGGGAACATTTAAGATGTTATTACACAACATAACAAGCAAAGGAGAATCCATTCACACTATTCGACAGCTACAAAGTTCAGATACAACTGCTTCTATTCAAAGATAAATTACACACAGAAAATACTAAGTTTGGAAACTATGTAGAGGTTCAGGAAATAAAATTTAAAAATACTAAAAACAGGAGTGTGAGACGAGAAAAGAAGTATAAAGACCAAAAGAAAGAAAAAAATGTTGGGAGAATAATTAAGTGCTTCTAGTCATCAAAAAACATTGTAAAGATAAAAAACAGGGCCGGGCACAGTGGCTCAAGCCTGTAATCCCAGCACTTTGGGAGGCCGAGGCGGGTGGATTACGAGGTCGACAGATCGAGACCATCCTGGTCAACATGGTGAAACCCCGTCTCTACTAAAAATACAAAAAATTAGCTGGGCATGGTGGTGCGTGCCTGTAATCCCAGCTACTCAGGAGGCTGAGGCAGGAGAATTGCCTGAGCCCAGGAGGTGGAGGTTGCGGTGAGCCGAGATCGCGCCATTGCACTCCAGCCTGGGTAACAAGAGTGAAACTCCTTCTAA